GAGGATGCTCGGGAGAAGCGCGCAGGGCTCGCCCGCGGGGCACTGGGCAGCCTGGGGAACCTGTGTGGGGTCGGGTGCTAGTGGGGAAGCTGGACTCTGAGCCCTGTGGGGACCTCGCCATTCATGGCCTCAGTTTCTCCGTTCCTGAGCTTCTTTCCCAGGTTTGAACAGATTAGGGTCGGGGCCGAGGGAGCACTGCCAATGAGTCCGTTCCGATGCATTGTGACACTCGGGGAGTCTTGGAGGGGCACGTCGCCTCATCGTTCTGCTGTGGAGCAGCTGGTCAATGTGAATCGCCCAGCTTTCCTCTGGCAGCTCAACACGCTTAACCTCTGTGCCACCAGTCCGCCTTCTTAGATCCGCTGCCATCGGATTTATTCCAACCCAGCAGCCTAGAGTGTTTGAGGCTTTAAGTCTTCGTGGGAGCACATAGGCCCATCTTCCTCCCACAGAGAGAAGGCATCAGGCACCGTGCACAGGAAACACCAGCCTGGCTTGGATGAGGGCTGACATCCGCTCTTCCCACGTTCGCGTCTGCATGAGCTGTACTTGTCCTGGGAAAGGGCATGCAGATAAAAAGTATCTGGGGAGCAGTTCGAAGGAGTGCTGGTGACCTCTTGGCAAAATGCGAGGCTACTCGCCTTAGCTAACAGGGTCAGCGGTTGGACCCCACCAATGGCTCTGGTCAGGGGAAAACCCTGGAGATTTCTCCCCAAAGGACTACCGCCTTAGAAACCCTGTGGAGCAGTTTTCCTCTGTCCCCTAGGGTCGCGCTCAGTTGGAATCCACTTGGCAGCAAGGGGCTTGATTTTGGGGGAACTCACGGCCATTGAGTCAATGCCGACTCAGAGGGACCCTACAGGACAGGATAGAACTGCCTGTGGTGGGTTTCCAAGACTAACTCTTTAAGGGAGCAGAAGGCCCCAGTTTTCTGCAAAGGAGCCCCTGGTGGTTTCAAAATGCTGACCTTGCTGTTGGCAGCCCAACCCATAACCCGCTACACCACCTTTGTGCAGTGCTGGAGGAAGCTAGTGAAAAGGTGGCCATTGGCAAGTTGGCAGTTCACACCCCCTCATGGGCACCTCAGAAGAAAAGGCTTGGTAACATACCGTGACATTGCCCACAATCAAAAATGAGAATGCTGAGAGGGACAGGGACCCCATACAGATGGAAACGGGACCCCAGGAAGGAAGGAAGTGGGGAGGAGGAGTGCAGACACTTTTCAGGGATAAGATCCAACCGCACAGAGCGATTGGTGAGCGATCTATTGATTGGGAAAACGACTTTACTACAGAGACTTTCCCCTAAAGCACAATCAACTGTTTAAAGGCAAAAAGGCTTGGTAATCTGATTCCTTAAAGACTCCTGCCAGGAAGAGCCTATGCTTGTACTGGGTAGCACATAGGGTCAACAGGCGCCGGAGCCAACAGCACCGGAGCCAACAGCACCGAACAGCACCAAACAAATGGCCGAAAGCAGGATCCAGGCCTCTGCATCTTTGGGAGGACCCCACGCCAGACGAATGGATGATTCCACAGCCATTGAGCCCATCCCCGACCCTACATATTGTTTCTGAGACTACATATTTATGAGAGCAGAGCGCCTCGTTGTTCCCCCACTCATCAGCTGGTGGGTTTGAACCACCAACCTTGCACTTAGCAGCACAGTGCCTAACTCAAATACCACCAGTCCTCCTTGATGAGTTTGTAGGTGGGTAAGAATGGAGGTTTCAAAAATCCCTTCAGAAGTTGCAGAGTTTGGGGTCTATGGTGAAGACCTTGTTGATGCTGGTGTGAGTGAATCTATGCCGATAAGGCATTTGAGAAAAAATAAATTCCTGCCTCCCGCCTCCCCGCCAGCATTGGGGTTCCCTGGAGAGCCTGCTGCTACATTGCCCCAAGAACCCCTAATGGTCACCTTACACTTGCCCTGCTGTAGCAATGGGACCATGGAGGGCCTTGCCCAGGGGCACCGCTTGGAGAGGGAGGCAGCAAAGGAAACGGATTCTGGAGGGCTGAGAAGGTTGCCAGGTGCTCCAGTCTTGGGAGGGATTGGGGGACCAGTAGTCGGTTTTGTTCTTTAGTTCTCAGAGCGGGGAGGGGAAGTGGTCCTCACAGGATAGTGGCAATTAAGTCCTTGACAGACATGAGGCTGCCGCTACTCCACAGTTAGTCCAGAGGGGCTCCTTAGTGTGCGGCGAGGCCAGAACACCCCCACCTCCCCACACTTGGGAGGCCCACTTCCCCTCTGAGCACACCTCTCCTGAGGGCTCTGACACAGTGGGTGAGGAGCACAGGAAGTCCAGGCAGAGCCAGGTATTAGCACTGCCTGTGCCTAGCAGATAACCCCCATGATGTACTTCACATTCGTGACTCAGGGGAAGAAAGACCCCTGGTTGCTGGCCCTTTCTACTGGGAGTTTTCTCCCTGAGATTCATCTGTTCACAGATAATTCTGCACAGGAGTAGAGAGGGGCCGCGTGCATGCTGGGCTCACCAAGGCCTGCTAGACAGTGGTGACGTCCACCCGGGAGACCCCCAGGGAGGCCCGCTTGCAGGCCGCAACCTGAGTGGGAGACAACACGCACCAAGACAAACAAGTTGCAGGGCCGCCTGTGATGCACAGGCTCCAAAGCTGGTCCACACCCGTGTCCACACAGCTCCTGCCTCCTCCGCTGCCAGGTCCTCAGCAGGGGAGCGCTGCGATGGAGAGGGCCTGCTCCAGGCAGAAAAGAATGAAGCGACCGCATTACCACCCGGCAGAGGACTGAGTGAGGAAGTAACCAGGTGGCTTTTTGCTGCGGCCATTTACCCTGTCCTAGAGAGTTGCTCTGAGTCTGCCTCAACTCCATGGCAGTGACTTCGGTTGGTTTTGGTTTTGTAACTAGAAGAGTCAGAAGGTCGAAGCCAGCTTGGGCACACTGGCTCTCCAGGGACTTGGGCTGCAAAGCCAGGTATGCCCTCTTTCCTCTCCTTTGAGGGCCCAGCATTTCCCACCTCATTTCATTAGAGCCAGCCAGTTGTTAGATCATCCTGATCTGTGGCAACCCCCAGAGTCGAACTGTGCGCCACAGGGTACTCAATGGCTGATGCAGGAAGCAGGTCGCCAGGCCTGTCTTCTGACCAGCCTCAACCCACCAGCTCCCAGCTGTAACCAAGTGTGGTAGCTGTTAGCAACACCCAGGGACTCTTTCCTTAGAATAAAGTTTCTCAAAAAAAAAAAAAGTGGGAGCCCTCATCCCTGCCACAGAGAATCATGGCCGTGTTCCACAGGAAGAGGAAGGCTGCCGACAACGAGGCTGAATGAGCTTTGAAGTCTTAGATGGTGCGTCTCTCTAAACAAAACAAACTCACTGCCATCAAGTCGATTCTAGCTAAAGACGACCCTATAGAGCAGGGTAGAACCCGCCCTCGTGCATTTCCCAGACCATAACTGTTTATGAGATTGGAAAGGCTCGTCTTTCTCCCGGGGAGCAGCTGGTGGTTTTGAACTACAAACCCTAAGATTAGCGCCCAATGTGTAACCATTATACCACCAGGGCTCTTGTCTGGAGGATCCCTGTGTGTCAGAACCGACTCGATGGCAGCGAGCTTCGAATGTTTCTACTACCCACCCACCCACTCAAAAAACAGTGCCCTCCACCCCAAAGCTGCATTAGTGAGGATTCTGACTGGCCATTCCAGGAACTCTAGCCTAAAGGGCACCGCAGGAGAGAAGGGGTCGGGGGCCTCTGAGGCGTTGAAAGGGCTGCAGGACCAGGCTGGAGGCCGAGGTTCCACCAACAGGGTCTTAAACTGCCGCAGAGCTGGGCCGGTGAGGATACCTCCACTGCCACCAAGAAGCACCTTTCGCGCCAGGAACTTGCTTTTATTGCAGCTGGTCCCGCTGCCAGAATGTATGCCAACCTCATGCCAGGAACTCGACTTTGCAGCCGTCACCTCCACCCGCCGCCAGCAAGAGGGCTTCCATTACTTTCCATGTTGCATCACCGGGTGCAGGCCGAGGCAGCCCAGGTACTCTCAGGCCACGCATGCGCGCACTGCAGCGGCGAGGGTGCAGGCAAGCCCAACTGTTTCCGTTCCCATCAGGTTAGGCCGTGTTTGTACCTCCAACCAAACTCTAAAAAGTGGGTGAGTCAACCCATCCAAAAGTAGCTAGACAACATGAAGGACAAATGTCTTCTGGAATCAGGGAGACGTGGACGTTAAAAACTGCTTATCTGCATGGCGACAACTCGCCCCCTGATATTCCTGATAACTAACCATTATCCTTGGAAAGAACGGACACGAGGAGAAGCGTTTTTAAACTGGAGAGTGGCATTCATTCCTCGGGTACAGCTTGTTCGTCAGGCAGCCTCGCTTGGATCCTGAGACAGCCAAGTTCCACCAGCCCCATTCGAACTTGGTAAGTGTGTGCCTGGCGCACCGCAAGCATCTCATGCCGGCCTTTCTTATTTCGCAGGATTCCAAGGCGTCGCTAACGGAATCCGGAAATGGCAGAAAAGAGAAGCAGATGACCACCATGGTAAATTACTTTCTTTTATTTTCAACATCTGGAATTCATGATGTTGAAGGAATACCTGGAAGAAGTGGGTTTCAGTTGCCTGCCTTTTAATGACAGACAGCTCAGGACTCAGCCAGACCTCCAGGGCCACTGCCCCTGGGAATGTCTCCTGTCCTCAGGGTTCCCACACTCCTAGGAGCTGTGAGTGGGGAGTGGTGCCGGCAGCTTGAGCACCCACCCTGTGCTGAGCTTCGGGAGGGGCTGCCAGCATCTGGAATGGTAGGTTGGAGTGTGCTGCCATAGGAGATAGGGAAGGTCAAGCCCTAACATCATCTTCTGGAGTTTTCTTTCTAAACAGAAAGGACCGTGGTCCCAGGAGATGCCAATCTGTAGCTCCCTGTTGGTCTGGGTCCCTGAATACAGTAAGGTCTGAGTGAAGTCAGCTTCCAAAGTCACCTCGTTCTGGGTGCCAGACATCTGTCACTGCAGGCCTGAGACCTCTTGGGGATGCTATTTGGGACCCACCACCCTGGCTGTCTCCTGTGCCGGTCAAGGCTCCGTCAGCACAGCCTGCATGGACAAGCAGTGGGACTGCACTGTGGGCCCATGAGAACGTTAATAAGGTCTCTCCCTCAAATCCCCAGCGGGGAGCACTCTCAGATCCGGGATATGTGTGCCCCAAGCAGACTGGCTCCTCAGATGCCAGGCTGCAGGAACTACCCCGTGGCCCTCTGCAAAGGAGGAAACTGGGGCATTCAATTCAGCGATTCAACAAGACCAAGCAGTCTTCTTCTGACAGTAATGAAAGGGAAGAACGGAATTTTCAAAGGAAATTCCTTCATTCCGCCCTTCCCTCCACACACACCTCTTGCTCTGGGTATCGCTGAGGATAAGACAGAGCACAAGACGATCAAGAACCCCTGCCTTTGGGCAGCCACGTGAAAACACTGGTAAGCTCATTCAAGGGAGGAGGGTCCAGGAGGGGAAAGGCTTACCGGTGCCCACCTGCCCCTCCCTGCACATGGGTAGGACTCATCCTTAAGACACGCCCTGCTGGGGAACCATCCTCTGTGCCAGAGCTGATGGCCTGTGTGGGTTGAATGCCTCCTTAGCCTTTCTATCAGGGCACATTGAATAGGAGACTTGCCAGCTTTGACTGTACTGGAGCACACCTCGAAGTCAGAGAGAGAGTGTGCTGTGGTGGTCTGAGACTGCCACATGAGAAGGAGACCTTCCGAGACCATGCAGGGCATGTGCACCAGGCCACTGTGTGCGTGGGTGAGCGGGTAATCCAGCCCACTCGCCCATGCACCTGCCTTATCACAACCCCCCTCCCCTTGCCAGGGTGGTTCGAGAATTATCTCAGGGCTTCTTGGACTTCAGGACAGGTTGAAAGACACTGAACTCATCCTGTTTTTGCCATCTCCAGAGCCCCTGGGTTTGTGGGAAGCGTAGGAAATATATGTATGAAATACATAATGTATAAATGTATGCATACATGTGTGTGAATATATGCATATATTCATATAAATATATGACTGTCTATGAACACACAAAGGGGCACGTAAAGATGACAAGACTCTTCTGAAGGACATGAAGTGAGACAGTACAATACATGTCTGCTGTACAGAGGATGATTAAGTGGCTCTGAGAGCCAAGAGTTTGGGACTGACAGTTGTTTGGGGCTGAAGAGATCCCCCCAAGACCCTTAGCCGGCAAAGACGGCAGGGGGGCGGGGGTTCGCCTATGTGACAGAAAGGTGCACTATTTTCACATGGTGCACTTCCCTGTGTGCAGAAATTTACTTGACTCCTTCCCGTGCTTGCTGATGGCAAAACTCTGGGTGCAGATATTAAAACCAGGCTTGCCTCCTACCCAAGGCACCCAGCCCTGGTCGCCGATGGCTTCGTCTGAGAATACAGCTGACGACATGTGTGTATGGTGCAGTGTGCCCAAATGTGGCCGAGCTTGGGGTTGATCCCAAAGGGCACATTTTCCCCTGTTGCTGCCCTGGGAAGGGTGGTAGCAGGGGTGGTATGGACAGGGAGCCTGGAGCCATCCAAATTTTTCTCAACAGCAGGTGTTCAGGTCCCTCTGGCCCCAAGAGCTCTGCCCAGCAACCGGTTTCCCCAGTTGTGATTGGCTGCTTTCCTTGGTCCTGACCAAACTCTGCCTAGCAGCAAGGGACTGCTGCCTCATCGCTACAGAGAAACCAAGGGTGCAGCCTGGACTATAAATATCCCGCGCACCCTGCGCCAGCCAATAGCCTTCTTCGAGGATTCCCTTCCCAGATCCTGTTTCCCAGGGTAGCTGGAGCCAGATGTACACACAGGAGGTGGCCTCCTCGCCCGAGTCTGGCCTGGGGCTCCTGCCCAGCATTCCAAGCCACCCTGTGTTGGCTCTCACAACTGGCCTGGCCCTTGGCCCACTGACCACAGCCCAGGGGCTCCAAGGCCTGGCTGGGCCCAGGCACTGGGGAAAGTTGAAGCAGGCAGGCTCCTCCAGGGTGCAAGACCCTGCCAGGGGGACCCCAGGTCCAGCCCAGCTCAGTGCCCACCTCCCCCCTGAATAACTATGCTCAGGCCCAGGGCAGCCTCATTTAGACCCACCTTGGCAGCAGCTCTCACGGAAGGAAGTAGTAGGAAAGGCTTGCTTCTCTTCTCTTAGGAGGGGCGGGTGGGTCTGTGGGCGCCCCCTCATGCCCCAAGGCAGCAGAGGCATCTCTGCAGCAGCCTGACTCCATGGCCTCCTCTGACAGCTCTGTTTGCGGACATGAAGGCCGGGTCGGGGGAGAGCTTGTGTGGAGTGGGCCTCTGGCAAGAGTTTATGAAACAGAACCAAACTGCAAGCGTCCCTATGCAGGAACGGAGGTGGACTGCCGCCACTAGGTGACTCACGGCAAGGCTGAGCCGGACGCCAGGCTCAGGTCAGATCTTCCCCAGCTTGAGGTCTTTTGACCAAAACATTGTAACGGTCCAAGCTGCAGGCTCCTCATCTGTTAGAACAGAAACCTCCCAGCCTAGCCCAACCCACAGAAAGAGTGTGAAGATTGGGGAGACACTACCCCCCACCCCCTGTGGGCACGTGCTTTGGAAACGGTGCCTGAGGACCTCATAGTCAGGAACTTGCCAGCATTCAGCCTGCTCCGGGAGAAACCCAGCCTGTGACGGCTCCTGTGGAGAAGGCACGTGGCAGGCTGCAGGGCACATGGGCTCCCCAGGGGCATTGATGTACACATACCATGCTGGGTGCCCAGTTCCATGGTACACACAGGATACACGTGCCAAGGCCAGGCCTATGGATGTGCTAGGCCTGTCCCTCACAGATGCACACAGTTCTCTGTTCTGGGGTGGGGATCCATGGAGTGCCCAAGGTTCACTGCGGTCTCTCTGTCTTCCTTAAATAGGACACCGGGCAGAGAAACAGCACCTTCAGCAGACCCAGGTCATCACTTCCTATGACAATCAAGGTAAGGGATTAGCTGCCACCTTCGGCATCTCCACCAGCAGCTGCATGCTGGGAGCTGCCTGGGGGAGAGGTCAGACTGCGGGGAGCAGGGACCTGTGTGTCCTTTAAATGCAGGAGCACAGGCCACATCCCCCTAAAGGGAAATGCAGGGAGAGGCTGCATGATCTCAAAGCCTGCCCCTTCCCACCGGACCCATAAATTAAGTCCCTGAGCCACAGAGCCCACTGCTGTCACCATCAACACCATCCTTGTCATCACTATAATTGGCATGACTGAGCACTCGCCATGTGCCTGACGTGGTGCCAAGCCATCCCGATGTGCTAGTCTCATGAAAATGAAGCTTCCAGCAATCCCATATGTGTTGGGCTGCTGACCTCGAGGTCAGTCGTTTGACACCAGCAGCTGCTCTGGGGGAGAAAGAGGAGGCTGTCCACTCCCATGATGAGTTACCATCTCAGAAACCCACAGGAGCAGTTCACCTGTCCTGTGAGATGGCATTGACTCGAGGGCAGGGAGTGAGCTTCGTACTTGTTTAACAGAGGGGAAGCCGAGGCTCTTTGCCACTTGTCCAGCAGCACACCGTCAGTAAGAATCAGAGCCAGGGCCGTCCGACGTCCCTGTGGCACCAGCAGATCCCTTCACGCAGCTCTGCTTCCTCAGCTCTTTGGAGCGGCCCTTCCCTACTGGGCCCCTGTCCCCGTGCCTTCCCCTACCCCATGCCCCCTGCCGACCCCTGGGGTTGCTCCGTGGCCTCTCCTCTGAGGCCCAACTTTCCTTAGCATCTGCCCACTGCCACCTGTGCTGCCTCCGCAGGGAGAGGGGACAGTTCTGTGGTACCTGGGGAAGGCAGGTATGGATGTCGCCACGCTGACACACCTCGCTTGCGGACAGTTTCCCAGATCTGAAAACCTGGCCAGGTTGAGACTGGGGAGAGCCCCCACCCACACTGTCGCCTTGGTTTCTTCCTCTGCCATAAAGACCTGGAGCTACTCTCTGAGAGTTCTCACAGGCTCAGCACCGATGCTCTAACGTCTAACCTATAAGAAAATGGCCTTTTCTGATCCGGCCTTGTCTTAGAGGACTGAAATCTGGGCTAGCTCTATTGTTCCTCTAAAGTTGGCATCCCATGAACAGAGCAACAGAAAGAGAGAGAGAGAGAGAGAGAGAGAGAGAGAGAGAGAGAATGAGTTATTGCTCTGTGCCAGATTCCATCTTGCTCGGGGACCCTCTAGGTGAGAGTGGGCGTGCCCCATAGGGTTTCCTATACTGCAGCAAATAGCCAGGCCTCTCCTCCTTGAAGTTTCGGGGATCCCAGCTGCTGCCTTTTCAGTGATCAGCCATTCGCTTAACCAACAAGTGAGTCACCAGGTCTCCTGTGGAGTGCATTAGCCACTGCTTAGTTTAGCCTCCCACACAGGAGGCCTCGTGGTCTCCCCGCTGTGTGCCCAGAGCCTCTGAGACCACAGGCTGCAGCCACAGCTGGCGTTCCTGTGGGTATTGCCCCCCTCCGGTCCCATGTCTGGAGTGGGCACTTGCAGCGCCAGAGCCTTGCCTCCTCCACCCTTCTCTTGCCACCCCAGGGGCTCCCACCTGAGCAGGGCTCACGAGGGACACTCATGCGCCCATGGCTTGGCAGCGAGGCCTTGCAGCTGTCAGGAAGGAGGGGCAGCCTGGGCCTTTGAAGAGTAGGCTGGAGTTCTCTGTCAGGCTTAGTGTCCTCACTCACTGCCATCTTGTCGACTCTGAGTCACAGTGACCCAATAGGACAGCCCCTGTGGGTTTCTGAGACTGTCACTCTTTACAGGAGCAGAAAGACTCATCTTTCTCCCTTGGGGCGGCTGGTGGTTTCAAACTGCTGACCTTGCTGTTAGCAGTCCAGCATGTAACCACGATGCCGCCAGGGCTACATGAGTCATAGTGCTGCTGTAACAGAAATACCACTAGTGAACAGTTTGGGTGGTGTTGTTTGTTGTAATTTGCATTGATTGATTGACCGATAAATCAACGTTATAATATTGATGAAGTTTTCAAAATAGTTCTTTTGAAAAGCTACTTTGAAAAAGAAAATTCTTTTCCAAGACGAGAGTAATAAATATGTGCACATTAACGCAAACTTTGTTTTTAAAAAGCTCCTTATATCGATGAGTTAAAGATTTAGACACATGACTTAAGCAGAAAATATTTGGGGTATTTATCCAGGCACTCTAATCAGGACGATATCTTAGTGGAGTCTGTCTCTAGCACTTTAAAACCACTAGAGGGTGGTTCTAAAGAACAGAGATTTCTCTTCTCATCATGCAGGCAGCTCAGCGTCTGAGTCCGGCTGTCGGGAGCGGGCTTTGTCTCCTGCAGCATCTGGTAGCAGTCGCGCTCAGAGTCGCTGGGATGTAGATTCCTCTGGGTTCTTCGTTACCAGATGGAATCTGTCTTCCGCGTCTGAGCCTGATCTTGTCTGTGTCCGTACCCGTGACTGTGTGTGTGTCTATACGGCTAGGCAGAAGTAATGAGGGTTAGGACCCGGGCTACACTGATAGTGCCTCCTTAACATAACAAAGACCACCCACTGCCATCGATTCCCTTCCAACCCACAACTCACAAACCAAACTCAGTTCCAGTCGGTGGATTCCGTCCGACTCCCACGGACCGTATCGGCAGGGTAGAACTGCCCCTTTGGGTTTCCAAGGGTGTGATTCTTTTCTTTTTTTTTAAACATTTTATTAGGGGCTCATACAACTGTTATCGCAATCCATACACACATCAATTGTGTAAAGCGCTTTTGTACATCATTCTCAAAACATTTTCTCTCCACTCAAACCCCCGACATTAGGTCCTCATTTTTCCCCTCCCTCCCCCCTCCCCCCTCCCTCATGAGCCCTTGATAGTTTATAAATTGGTATTTTGTCATATCTTGCCCTGTCCGACATCTCCCTTCACCCACTTTTCGGTTGTCTGTCCCCCAGGGAGGAAGTCACACACAGTTCCTTGTAATCGGTTCCCTCTTTCCAACCCACTCTCCCTCTACCCTCCCTGTTTCGCCACTCACACCACTGGTCCTGTAGGGCTCATCCACCCTGGATTCCCTGTATTTCCAGTTCCTATCTGTACCAGTGTACATTCTCTGGGCCGTGGCTCTTTTCAAGAGTAAAAAGCCTCATCTTTCTCCTGCAAAGCAGCTGTTGCTTTCAAACTGCTAACCTTGCAGCTAGCTGCCCAATGAGGAGCCCACTGTGCCACCGTGGCACCTTCAATAGACTTCTACTTTTCACGTGAATTTTGCTCAGTCAGAGGGAGACCACAGTGGCTGGGACACAGGGGTCACTGGGACAAACAGAACAGGGGACCGACTATAACCATGGAGGGCTCAGGGTCCATGGCCTATCTGGGTACTTGGGCATCCTGACCATGACAAGGGATGACCTTCAGCTGGTCCTCGGTACATGGGAAGTTGGCCAAGTCTGCACAAGGAGTAGCCTTCAACCTCCAGATTGATTATATCCCAGGATCTCCGCCATGGGACATCGCCATAAGCAGACCACAGAAGATGCTGCTTGGCGTCATGAAGGATAAATCCTACAGATTTGTCAGCATGTCTAGACATTGGCGCCACTGCTTCTTTATGCCTCTGAGCCAGAGTTTTTGGAAATTTATTTGAAAGCACTTTATTTCTCTTCTTCGCATCGAGATGTACTCTGTTCAACCCTCCCTCTGTGGTAGGAAATTCCAGGTTTCCTGGTCCTTCCAAGGTTCACTGAACTGGTCTGAGCCCTTCTCTTGTTCCCAAGTTCCTTTTTCCTCCTTACATCCTGGAGATTTCTACTGACTCCACCCCGTGGTGTCACTTCCCTTGTGCCTTTCGCCTGTTAGTGATCCAGGTGCATAATTGTACACATAATCATCAGGAACAGGATGGGCCACAGGCTGACCACATCTGATGGGATACGGGGCCTCGGGGGCAAGCACAGAACCCAGGCAGGGGGACGACCGAGGACTCAGGATCCAGGGCTCCCATCTGAGCACCTGAAGCTCTTTCACTTAGACCACTTGCTGGGTGTTCCAGGCACCTACTCCTCAAGGGGAACATGGATGAGCGGGGCCTGGAACATGTTCTCCAGAGTAAGGAGGCTGGTCGACCCTAAGCTCAGTAGGCCCGAGTGGACGGCATCCTCCAGTTCATGCCAGTTGACCCCAGGATCCTGTGTAGGGCACCTCTGTGAAGAGAGCACAGAGGATGATGGGTGGCCTCATGAAGAAGAGTCGGATACAAAACCTACAGACCTGTCAGCAGGTCTCAGCATCATTGCCACAGTTAGAGTCCGCCAGCCAGACCCTTACCTTGCTGGCATCTACAAAGTCTCTCCGGGGAGGAGGGCCGTGTCCCAGCCTCCCGCAAGGCAGTCTACAAGAGCAGCTGAGAAAGGCATTGCCGAGCAGTGATGCTTCAGTAAGGGAGCAGATGAGGGAGCGGCCCCGGGTGTCTCAGGAAGAGCAACCGGCAGACAGAGCAGCAGGTATGGAGGCTCCGAGGCATGAGTGTGCTCCGGGGACCAGGGAGCAGCTGAGTGCTGTAAGACCAGGTGCTGCTGGTAGTGAGACCTGAGTCTGTGAGCTCAGAGTGCCCGTGCAAGGCCTGGGCGCTCACTCCAGCACTCCAGCCTTTCACCTGGGCGCGATGGGCAGCCACTCCGGGCCAGCACGGCAGCTTCCAGTGGGTGGAGAATAAGCAGGAGGTGGCAACAGGTAGGAATGGGAAGATCCCTTAGGGACATTGGGATTGTGCAGATGAGAGGGAGGTTTGCTGGTGGTGCAGGCTTGGGATGTAAGAGAAGGAGAGGTGTCAAAGTCTCATGGTGGAGTGAGGGGCTGGGAATGGGGAACGTATAGGAAAAGGTTGGAGACAGAACATGAAAAATTCAGCTTTGGCCTTGAGATTGATGCCAGTATCGGGAGACCATGTACCTATTATTTAGGATAAGGGTGACCAGGAGCACCCTATTCCACGCA